TCATGATTATAACTTATGTTAATTGTAAATCTCGTCAAGCATTCATGATTATAACTTATGTTAAGAACAAATCAAGTTCCTTTCATAGCTTAGGTGTCGATTATACCATATAGTATGAACTATGAAAGTGTCAAGCATTTGTTGTACCAAGTGTTATACAACATAAATCAAGATTAGGCATTTAACAAGCAAAGTATTAAAGAGTGAACAAGACAATAAATACAAAACATGTTAGTATCAAACATTAAAGTCCATATTAAGTTTACACTATACTTATTCTTATACCATTAGTGTAACCTTCTCACCTTGACATAATAAACTTAGCTAGACATAATGAAAGAAAGAAAAATAAATAAACAAAATAAGATAAAAGTTAACTAAGTAAATGAAAGGAAATGAAAGGCATAAACTTGATATTAATGAAAGCAAAGCATCAACATTACAAAAAATACAAAGAGAGAAAGTAAGAGCATGATCTTGATATGGAAACCAAGATGCCTAAATGCATGGCAAATGCCTCCTTTTATAGGCCAAAATTAGGAATTATTGATTTGATGACTAATTGATGAGTAGGTGGCCAACTCTTGACTTGGTGACAATCCTTATCTTCTTTTGTCTTCCCAAAACATCATTGATAACGTAAAAATTGGAACCACTTGAAACATGAAAGTTGTAGGACATTGTCTCAGCTTTCTTATGTGAAAACTTCAGATTATTTTGACTTCTAGAACTCCAGATATGGCCAAAATACTGAACAGTGCTCGGGCTGGAGGACAGATTCAGGCTTCTTTATTGTTGCTCTAATTTGAACTTGAAAATGGCTTTTTTAGATCTTGGGCTCCTATAAACGTTGTAGGCCTATGTCTTACCTTTCCATCCATATAAAGTAGACCTAAATATGAGATCTACAGCTTTAGATATGATCCAATTACTGAATAGTGTTTCGGTTTGGACTGCACCGACATCTCTTTTCTAAGTTTGGCCATCTCTTTGTCCTTTCAATTTCAGTTCTTAAATTCATCAATCAATCCTTTCATTTATGTGATAGGCCTGCATTTAAAATGAACATTTACCATAAATTAAAGGTATCTTATATTATTAGATATATTATTATAAAACATGCTTTAGTTAAGAAGTTATTGATACTTCAAGTGCAAAATGATGATATAAAACCTTGATTAAAATACACTTTTAAGTATCAATCAATGATGATATAAAACCTTAATAAAAGTGCAGTTTTAAGTACTAATTAGACTCCCAGACCAATTGGTCTTACGACATTAGGTGTTGAGATACCCCTACGAGCTTAGTAACTTAGATAAGCTTCCTATCTAGTTTTTTAAAAAACTAGCAAACATGGTCTTTTATTAGTCAGATTCCTAAGATTATAATGAGCATGTTCTTTATGAAAATAGGGTTAAAAATCATGAGTTGCACATGTACATCTCCACCAAGATATGTCTCAAAAGTCAATAGAAGATTATTTAAAGATTCCTTATGTTTTGAAATAAATCCCAACTTTTAACAATTTTCACAAACTTTACAAAACACATGTGTGTCTTTGAACATGATGGGCCAATAGAATCCATATTGTAAGATTTTTACTGTCATATGACTCCTACATGCCTCAGAATAACAAAGTTTAATGACACTACTTACCTTATTGTCCAAAATGCATCTTCAAAATATTTGATCAAGATAATATTTGAATAAGGGTCATCCTAATAAAAGTTCTTCACATCGTTCAAAAACTTTCCTTTGTCTTTGGTACTCTAATGAGCTGGCAAAAATCATGAAGCAAAAAAATTAATATTTTTAGCAAACCAAGGCATTGAATTAAGAGAAAGCAATGATTCACCAGGAAAGTAATAATTGATTAATGTATAAACATTGAATCTATTGTTAATCTTGATAAAAGAGTCGTATAAACATTTTTTGTGCCTTTCTTGAGAATAAATCATTTACAAATCTACATATTCATTAAACTAAATTTTACTCAAAGTAGATTTAAGTTGATCATAAATTAATTCTTCAATAAGATCTACTTCTTGTAAATCATTATTATCTCTAGGTTGCTTGCAAATGTTGAAAATATTCATCTTTAATGTCATGTTTCCATATGATATCTTTATTAGTCCATTTCTACAATTAATTGATGCATTAGAAGTTGCAAGAAATGAATGTCCTAAAATAACAAGAAATGAATTACATGCTTTAACAGGTTATATGTCCATGACAATAAAATCCACAGGATAAATAAATTTATCGACATGTATTAATACATCTTCAACTATTTCTTTAGGCACTTTTATAGATCTATCGGCAAGTAAAATAGTTATATAAGTTGGTTTTAACTCACTTAGATTGAGACTTTGAAAAACTGAATATGGAAGTAAATTCACACTAGCTCCAAAATCAAGTAAAGCTCTTTCAATTTTATGTTCTCTAATAAAGTAAGAAATTATAGGACAGCCAGAGTCTTTATATTTCAAAGCATTATTTTTCTGAAGAATGACACTTGTTTGGCTAAAAAGGCTTTCTTTTTTTCACATTCAATTTTCTCTTTACTGTACATAGATCTTTCAAAAATTTAGCCTAAGAAGGTACTTGTTTAATAGCATCCAATAAAGGTATATTGATCCTTACCTATTTGAAAGTTTCAAAGATTTTGGAGTTATGATTGACTTTTCTTTGTTTGGTCATGGCATGAAGGAATGGAAGAGCTGGCGGGGAATTAGTCTTTTCTTTGCAATGTTCAAATTTAACCCCTTTTTTACTCTTAGAGATTGACTCATCATCTTTCTCACAAGGTTCAAAAGTGGGCTTTTCAATTACCTTACTACTGCAAAGAGTGACAACTAATCTGACTTGATCTACATGCTGGTTTCCTGAACTACTAGCACTTGAATTATATTACCCCTTGGGTTTTTTTATGGTTGAGATGGAAACTTATCTTTCTTTTGACGAGGACTGTTGCACCCTCACAAGTGGAGTGCAGCGTCACGGTGATTGTAAATCCTGAGAAAAATAAAATCGAGGCTAGATTAAATTAAAGGAAATAAACTAAACTATAAAGAAGTAGGGGCAATGCAAATACACTTAAAGAAAATAGGGCCTAAATGCAAATAAGAATAATTATAGAGCATAAGTACTCCTTTTCTCACCAAAAACAGATCTGCAGATAACATAAAGAAAGAAAAGAGGGAGTTTTTATAAAACAAATCAAGAGAGAAACACCAAAATTTCAAAAACCCATCCAAGATTAAGGGTTATAGGTAAAATAAATGCTAGTGGGAAAGGGATTAACAAGAAAAATTAAACAAGATAAGAAGAAGGGAGGGCCAACTATCATTAGAAAGAAAAGGAGGGATTGAAACCTTGATTCGTATCGGGTAAGGTATTCTAAACCTACTCTTATGAGTCATTTCAAGTCAATTATAAATTGATGCTTGGATGTTAATTTATAGATTTGAGTTCTTAGACTTGAATTGAGGAAAAAGCATGAGTTGCTAAATTAAAGAACTTCATGTGTTGTATGTAAATGGAAAGATTGACGAATCTGGATAATTTCATCTCTTAACTTTCAAAGAGATTTCGGGTTGGAGGATGAAGGAATTAGGATCAGGCTTCTCATAGAAATTGTAGGTTCGAATGTTGGCTAACTAATAAAATTGGTCTTACTCAATTTGGAATTATAGAACTCCAGCTATGGGTCAACAACCGAGACTGGATCATGACAGACCCTATAGGGTAGTAGGTCTGGTTCATTGATAAGAAGTTGTGACTGTCTTAGAGGTAGAATTGGGTTTTCCTTCCTTAGAGAACATGTAGCCTTATGTCTTAGCTTTCCAACAAGACTAATCTCGCTCGAATTGGAGTTCTATAACTGTAGATATAGTTAAAAATCTGAGGAGAGGTTGAAGAGCAACAATTCAATATCTAGACAGTAACAGTTCAAAAATAAGACAATAACATTTTAAAAAACCAAGACAATAATAGTTCAAAAACGAGACAGTAACAGTTTAGTATCTAGATAGTAACAGTTCAATGTCTAGACAATGACATTTCGGGATTTAAACAAAAATGGTAATTACACACACACACACACATATATAATTATGGTTGGACAAAATATGACAATATTAATGGGTGAAATGAGAAAAACATAAAATATTAAGAAATGACTGAAAGAAAGACTTATTGGTTATTGATATGGTTATAATAAAACATATACTTGAGTGAGGAAAATTTATAAGATAAACCTATGAATTGCAGAAGGGACCACAAGCGTAGTGTAGTAGTAGCAGGGGAGCACGAGTAGAGCTTCTATTGCAGGTAGGTGAATAGCACCTATACTTCCTAGTTAATTCCATAATTTATTTCTATTATCAATGTGGCAACCCTCGATTGATTTTGGGGTCTTTGTTTTTGATTTATAGATAAAGGAGTCACCACCTAGTATTATTGATTAGTACTTAAAAGTGCATTTTTTATTAAGGTTTTATGTCATCATTTTACACTTGAAGTATCAATAACTCAACTAAAGCATGTTTTATAATAATATATCTAATAATATAAGATACCTTTAATTTTTGGTAAATGTTCATTTTAAATGCAAACCTATCACATAAATGAAAGGATTGATTGATGAATTTAAGAACTGAATTTGAAAGGACAAAAAGATGGCCAAACTTAGAAAAGAGATGTCGGTGCAATCGACATCGGAACACTGTTCGGTCTAGAGTTGTAGATCTCAGATTTAGGTCTACTTTATATGGATGGAAAGGTAAGACATAGTCCTACAACTTTCATATGGAGCCCAAGATCTAAAAAGGCCATTTTCAAGTCCAAATTATTGCAACAAAAAAGAAGCCCAAATCTGTCCTCCAACCCGAGCACTGTTCAGTATTTTGGCCATATCTGGAGTTCTAGAAGTCCAAATGAGCTGAATGTTTTACAAACGAAAGATGAGACAATTGCCTACAACTTTCATGTTTTCAAGTGGCTCCAATTTTGACGTTATCAATGACGTTTTGGGCAGACAAGAGAAGATAAGGATTGTCACCAAGTCAAGAGTTGGCTACCCACTCAACAATTAGTCATCAAATCAATAGTTCCCAATTTTGGCCTATAAAAGGAGGCATTTTCCATGCATTTAGACACCTTGGTTTCCAGATCAAGATCATGCTCTTCCTTTCTCTCTTTGTATTTTTTTGTAATGTTTATGCTTTGCTTTCATTAATATCAAGTTTATGCCTTCCATTTCCTTTCATTTACTTAGTTAACTCTTATCTTATTTATGTTCTTATTTTGTTTTTTTTTTCTTTCATTATGTCTAGCTAAGTTTATTATGTCAAGGTGAAAAGGTTACACTAATGGTGTAAGAATAAGTATAGTGTAAACTTAATATGGACTTAAATGTTTGATGCTAACATGTTTTCTATTTGTTATCTTGTTCACTCTTTAATCCTTTGCTTGTTAAATGACTAATTTTGATTTATGTTGTATAACACTTGGTATAACAAATGCTTGGCACTTTTATAGCTCATATTGTACGGTATAACCGACACCTGAGCTATGAAAGGAACTTGATTTGTTGTTAACATAAGTTATAATCATGAATGCTTGACGAGATTTACAAGTATTAGTATTAATCGAATAAGATGACTAATGTAATCATGTTAACAATCTATAATCAAATTGAAACCTTCTTTGTGTGTGGTTTCCAATTGAGTAATAAGAGTTTATACTATACTTGTTATGCATACCATTCCTCTAACCTTGACATTTGTTATTATCATTGTTTAAACCTTACATTAATATTCCATCTCAAAGTTCTCATTTTCTTCTTCTTCTTCTCCATCTTTTTCTTTATTATTATTATTATTGTTATTATTATTATAATTGTTATTGTTATTACTATTATTATTGTTGTTGTTGTTATTATTATTGTTGTTATATTATTGTTGTTATATTATTGTTATTTATAATTTGTATAATTAACCTCCCTATGGTTCGACCTTGGTCTTGCTGGGTTATTTATTACTTCAACACTACTGCACTTGGGAGAAGACATCAATCTTTTAGTCATGTTAATTATGGTCACTAGGAACCCTAGCTGGTCTTTCAGAGATTCTAAGATAAGGGATTTGTTGCGTAAAGGAAAGATACTAGCACCCCTTATGCCCTACTTAAGGTAAGCTGCTTGGTGTTTGGTTTGCTTTATAATTACTATAGTGTTGGTGTTTTCTAATCCCATCTGTTTTTCTAGGTTTGATTCAAACTAAATATATTAAGATAGAAATCCAAATAGATTCGATGTGCTTTAAAAGCTCATTTTTTTCCTTAGTATTTCAAGAGTTCATGACTTGTAAGTCGCAATGAGGAGGGACAAAAATTTAGAAATGTAAGGAAATTCATAGTTCTTTAAAAACGTCCTTTTGCCTTAATGTTTCATGCTTTCACAGCTCGTAAACCATGGAGACAAAAATTAAAATGTCCTTAATTATAATTGAGGCTTCTTTCAAGGATGTGTGTGGTGCACTTGCGTTTCTTTATCCAAACATTAACAGCAAATAATAACAAATTATTGCTAATAATATTTTGGCTATTCATCCTTTAGGGATTTTTTTATTCAAACATTAACAGTGAATAATAGATGAATTCCCCTAAAAACATAAGATTGTTATATTTTTTGGAATATTATCCAACACCTTTTGGAGTTTTACAAAAATGTTATAAAATTTAGAAATGCTAGAAATATTTTTTATTGTGTTTAAGAAATCCATGCGAAAATATATTTTTGAAACTTTTGATATTTTTTTTATATAAAAAGAACATTCAAAACGTGTTAGGGTATTGGCTGTATGCATAAAAACATTATATATATATATATATATATATATATATGTATGTATGTATATTTGTGACGTTGCGTCAAAAGCCGAGTATTCTATATACAAGATTCATATTTTTTTTTACAATATAAAAATACAAAAAAAAAACACAATAAATACATAAAAAAAACAATGATATTACTTGCTTTTTCAGTGGGCTAGGTCCAATGACCCGGCTGGGCACAAAGGCATGCATGAGTTTCCTCTCACGCATGCAATTGCATTCAGTGAATTAAATTTCACTTGAACAGTAACAAATGCATTAAGGATGCATGCAAAAACTATGTAGAAGCTGGGGATAATAGATAGCTTACCTGGTTTGCTACCAATCAGGCCTTTTTTGCCTTCCACTACTTTCATTCGTGGGTTCTTCTTTTGTATCTTCATTCCCCTTGTTCTCTCCTCTTTTTCTGTCTTGTTTTTGCATTTTCTTTCTCTCCCTCTTAGCTAACTGAGATGGATGAAGACAACTGTATTGTAGCTTTTATGCATAACTGGTGGTCACTGCTTCTACGGACAGTGAAAATGATGGCCACACTGGTTGATGATCTCCTTTCCTTTCTTTTCCCTTCTGTTGATGCTCTTTGTGGAGATGACAATGAAAATGTGTTATGCTGGTTGAGTTCACGCCCCTACCTCTATGTTTTTTTTGCTTTTGACAGTGACATCCTTTTGCATTAAATAATCAAATGGGAATATCTTGAGCTTTTGATATTGAAATCAAGTAATTCAAAAAGACCAAATTCATTTACTTGTCTAGGATTACAACTTTAATGAAGGATACAAAGTGAGATAAAATCATTTTAGAGAACAGAAACTGACATTAATCTGGTTGGTCAAAAAAGGTCTTTTGATCTAATTTAGAAACTAATAATGTTGAGCATCCCGATATGAATGAAAATATAACCTAAGAACAAAAACCAACAAAAATTATGATGGAAATAGAGTCTTTAGTGCAAAACTTGGGTCAGAATCCTTCTTGTGGCATAATCTCTACTTTCATGTTGGATATTCAAACGGGCATGTCATGAGCTTTTGGTATCAAAATCAATTGATTCAAAAGCCCAAATTCATTTAAACTTGTAAAGCTATAATTTTCATGAAGGATAAAAAATGAGATAAGTTAATTTTGACTAGCAAAATCTGACCGTAACCTAGTTAGTCAAAAAGATCTCTTGACCTGATTCAGAAATTAACAACGCTGAGCATCCTAATATGACTGAGAGTATGACCTAAAAACAAAGAACAACAAAATTTGTGATGTAAATATAGTTTTTTAGTGCAAAACTCGAGTTAGGATCCTTCTCGCGACAGAATTCTCTACTTTCACATTAGATATTCAAATAGAAATATTATGAGCTTTTGATATCAAAATCAAGCGATTCAAAAAATCCTAAATTTATCAATGTGTCCTAGACTACAACTTTGATGAAGGATTCAAAGTAAGATAAAATATTTTTAAATAACAAAATCTGGTAGGAATCTAGTTGGTTGAAAAGGTTTTTGATCTGACAATGTTGAGCATTTAAATCTGATTGAGAGTCTGCCCTAAGAATAGTGATCCCTAGGACCTCATAAAGGTGTTGGTCAATTTTTCAACATGTAATGAGTGACATAATATAGCTAGGATGGTCAGATATCATATGAAACCAAGTCAGAATCAGAGCCTAAATTGGAACAAAAAATTACGACAACAGCAAAACTAGTTTTTTTTTCTTATGCAAATTCTAAGGGATTTATCTAGCCTTAAAGACCAGATAAAGAAGGAAAGAATTTAGCATTATGAAGACTCCTAATCAATCTAAGAAAACTTGATGATTTTGGCAGCAAAGGGGAAGGATAAAGAGAGCAGAAATCAACTCAAACAGGGTTTTCAAAAAAAAAAATATTTATTTCTCTACTTTTGTCAATCTTCCAGCAAGCATGAGCTAAACTCCTACACTCAGTTCAAAAGAGGTATACACCAGATGATGAGAACTTTGCGATGGAATATTAATGTAAAGATTTAACAACGATAACAATAAATGTCAAGGTTAGAGGATCCACTAATGGTATGTCAAACAAGTATAGTATAAACTCTTATTAGTTAATTGGAAACCACACACAAAGGAGGTTCCAATCAGATTATAGATTGTTAACATGATTACATTAGTCATCTTATTCAATTAATGCTAATACTTGTAAATCTCGTCAAGCATTCATGATTATAATTTATGTTAACAACAAATCAAGTTTCTTTCATAGCTCAGGTGTGGGTTAAAGCATACAATATGAACTATGAAAGTGCCAAGCATTTGTTCTACCAAGTGTTATACAACATAAATCAAGATTAGTCATTTAACAAGCAAAGTATTAAAGAGTGAACAAGATAACAAATACAAAACATGTTAGTATCAAACATTAAAGTCCATATTGAGTTTACACTATACTTATTCTTACACATTAGTGTAACCTTTTCACCTTAACATAATAAACTTAGCTAGACATAATAAAAGAAAGAAAAATAAATAAAAAAATAAGAACATAAATAAGATAAAAGTTAACTAAGTAGATGAAAGGAAATGAAAGGCATAAACTTGATATTAATGAAAGCAAAACATAAATATTACAAAAAATACAAAGAGAGAAAGCAAGAGCATGATCTTGATCTGGAGACCAAGATGCCTAAATGCCTGGCAAATGCCTCCTTTTATAGGCAAAAAATGGGAACTATTGATTTGATGACTAATTGACTTTCTTTCTTTGTATTTTTGTAATGTTTATGCTTTGCTTTCATTAATATCAAGTTTATGCCTTTCATTTCCTTTCCTTTACTTAGTTAACTTTTATGTTCTTATTTTGTTTATCTATTTTTCTTTCTTTCATTATGTCTAGCTAAGTTTATTATGTCAAGGTGAAAAGGTTACTTTAATGGTGTAAGAATAAGTATAGTGTAAACTTAATATGGACTTTAATGTTTGATACTAACATGTTTTATATTTGTTATCTTGTTCACTCTTTAATACTTTGCTTGTTGAATGACTAATCTTGATTTATGTTGTATAACACTTGGTACAACAAATGCTTGGCACTTTCATAGCCCATAATGTATGGTATAACCGACACCTGAGCTATGAAAGAAACTTGATTTGTTGTTAACATAAGTTATAATCATGAATGCTTGACGAGATTTACAAGTATTAGCATTAATTGAATAAGATGACTAATGTAATTATGTTAACAATCTATAATCTGATTGGAACCTTGACACGACTAAAAGGTTGATGTCTTCTCCCAAGTGCAGGAGTGTCGAAGTAATAAATAACCCGGCAAGACCGGGGTCGAACCATAGGGAGGTTAATTGTACAAATTATAAATAACAGTAATACAACAACAACAACAACAACAACAACAGCAATAATAATAATAATAATAGTAGTAGTAGTAGTAGTAGTAGTAGTAGTAATATTAGTAGTAGTAATAATAATAATAATAATAAAGAAAGAGAAGAAGAAGAAGATGATGAGAACTTGAAGATGGAAAATTAATGTAAGGATTAAACAATAATAATAACAAATGTCAAGGTTAGAGGTTCCACTAATGGTATATCAAACAAGTATAGTATAAACTCTTATTATTGAATTGGAAACCACGCATAAAGGAGGTTCCAATCAGATTATATATTGTTAACATGATTACATTAGTCATCTTATTCAATTAATGCTAATACTTGTAAATCTCGTCAAGCATTCATGATTATAACTTATGTTAACAACAAATCAAGTTCCTTTCATAACTCAGGTGTCGGTTATACCATACATTATAGGCTATGAAAGTGCCAAGCATTTGTTGTACCAAGTGTTATACAACATAAATCAAGATTAATCATTTAACAAGCAAAGTATTAAAGAGTGAACAAGATAACAAATATAAAACATGTTAGTATCAAACATTAAAGTCCATATTAAGTTTACATTATACTTATTCTCACACCATTAGTGTAACCTTTTCACCTTGACATAACTAACTTAGCTAGACATAATGAAAGAAAGCAAAATAGATAAACAAAATAAGAACATAAAAGTTAACTAAGTAAAGGAAAGGAAATGAAAGGCATAAACTTAATATTAATGAAAGCAAAGCATAAACATTACAAAAAATACAAAGAGAGAAAGGAAGAGCATGATCTTGATCTCGAAACCAAGATGCCTAAATTCATGGCAAATGCCTCCTTTTATAGGCCAAAATTGGGAACTATTGATTTGATGACTAATTGATAAGTGGGTGGCCAACTGTTGACTTGGTGACAATCCTTATCTTCTCTTGTCTGCCCAAAACGTCATTGATAACGTCAAAATTAGAGCCAGTTGCAAACATGAAAGTTGTAGGCAATTGTCTCAGCTTTCTGGTGTAAAAACTTCAGCTCATTTGGACTTCTAGAACTCCAGATATGGCCAAAATACCGAACAGTGCTCGGGCTGGAAGACAGATTCGGGCTTCTTTGTTGTTGTTATAATTTGGACTTGATAATGGCCTTTTTAGATTTTGGGCTCGATATGAAAGTTGTAGGCCTATGTCTTACCTTTCCAACCATATAAATTGGACCTAAATCTGAGATATATAGCTCCAGAGATGACCCAATTACCGAATAGTGTTCCGGTTTGGATTGCACCGACATCTCTTGTCTAAGTTTGGCCATCTCTTTATCCTTGCAATTTAAGTTCTTCAAGTCATCAATCAATCCTTTCATTTATGTGATAGGACTGCATTAAAAATAGACATTTACCACAAATTATAGGTATCTTATATTATTAGATACATTATTATAAAACATATTTTAGTTAAGGAGTTATTGATACTTCAAGTGCAAAATGATGATATAAAACCATGATAAAAATGCACTTTTAAGTACTAATCACACCCCCCAACCAGCTTATTACTAGTCCCTAGTAATCAAAGCGTTAAAATAGA